TTCCACACAGTGACGTCTGTCTTCAGTCACATCACTTCCTCTTTTGTCATTTTATGTTTTCTTCTTCATTTTGCAGGATTTAATTTTTCACTCTGTTAAAATCTACATCTGATTTATTTCAAGCGTTTCTGTGAAGTATCTTCAAATGTGCTATATATATAGCACTATAGCTTTCTTTGATCCTCGGTAAACATGCAACATAAAAAGGTCAGAGGTCACTCTGCTGAGTTGTGGCACAAACGTGCGTATCTGTGAAGAGCACAGGAGTCAAACATGTGCACGAATAAACAGAGAAATTACACCAAATAAACTCAAGTCAAGGGTTAATTTTTCAGTTCATGAAATTTTTAAAACATCCCCTGCGTTTCCATGGTTACTCACTGTCATGTGTAAACCATCCCTGCAGGATGACATCACTCTGAGCTGCTGTGGGATTTCACAGTGTCTCAGATTTCCTCCTGATGTTCTTATGAACGCTGTTGTAATGCTCATGCTGGAGCATCGTTAAACCCCATTGGTCAGACCAATCAGGTGCTCGTACGAGCTTGGACCTGTTGAGGGATGCTCAGCTGTAATTGGTTCACACAGATATGTGACTGTTTCAGGTGTGACATTAATAAACAATTCTTTAAAGAGATCCAGAGCTCATCACAAACCATCTGTAGCTCGAGCCCCGACACACCTGTGGAGCTTCCAGCAGCTGAAAAGTCATTATTTGTTTATTATTGTTTATCCAACTTGAATTTTCCAGGTGATGCAGTAGTCTGACTTTTGCCTTTTAAAGTGAACTCATGGTTTGTAGAGTGTTACCTGTGCTGCTGCTCTAAGCTGTCACAGTTGTGGATTAGTCATGTTAATGTTCATTTTTGTGCTTTTCATGAAGTTTGTGTAGTTTGATCTTTACAGACTATCAGAATAATAATAATACTGTTCATCAAACCACGAACCTCTGTGTGCTTCTCTCTCTAACTATGCTGGCTGCTCTCATGTCGACTGTGATTGTTAGTCACTGAATGTTCATCAGTTGTTCCATTAATTAGTCGAGAAATCAGAAATACTTTTGTGTTACTGGTGATCAATAATATATATTCCAAAGGGGGAAAAGTGCAGGTCTTCCAAAATGAACTGTTTAAAACATCTGTCCAAAAAACAAAAACCCCAAACCCTGCAATGATATAATGACATTATTTAAAGAAAATATTCATTAAAGGAAAAATAAACTAATCTCAAATACAGTAATGTTAAATCAAATAAAGTTTATGAGGAAAAATAAAGAGCTCAAAGTCCAGGATGTCCTCGATGTCGTCCATCGGGACTTGTTAGGATCGCTCGAATGAGCCAAAAGATACAGACCACAAATCAGACGTA